TATGGGAATCTAGCTAAAATCTTATTACAATTAATTCACATTGTTGTTTTGACTGGGAAGATCCAACTGATCAGAAATGTTTATTAACTATCAAATCGATCTAAAAGCATCTAATTTGATGCATGGAATACATCTGATTCAAACACATGGATTTCATTAAATCCTCTTTAAGTCAAACCTTCAAAACAAGCTTCATGTAGCCTTCTTAAGTAGTTTGTTACAAGCCACCAAAAATAAATGGGAGTTAATTTAATGGACTATAACAAAGACATCAAATCTAGCCCAGGTCTTGATTAGTTCCATTTATAATGGATTGCAGTTAAAAATTCTTCCAAATTAGCTACTCTTAGCAGGAAGCAGGTAAGGAGTACATCAGCAGAAACAGTCACTTTAGCCATTTAAAGTAAAATCTAATTATTTAAAGCAATTAGGTTAGTAGTTAATGTCACAAAACCAGTCAACGGCATTTTGAACTTAAATTGGTTCAAGCTTCAAATGCCCGCAAACAGATGTTTCTAGTTTGAAACATACTTCTAACCTTGCTGGAAGCATCTGGGCTGTATTCCAAGGGTAGTTGTGTTATAGTGTAAGCAAGGTTTGGAACGTGACATAACCTATTTTAAGATCAAATTATTATTATTGTGGTTCATTGCACAGTCAGCCAGATGCTTAGACTAGATTTGGCATTTTTGTCCACCTATCAAGTCTTTCCTAAGGACCTGGGATAGGCAGAAGTTGACATTTGAAGGATGTAAGCTATTCCAAGTAAAGCTGCCTTTTGCAATTGACTGATGGCAAATTGGTCAATGCCGATGGTGTTCAAGTGGTGCTCCTATTACTATTAGTACCTTTGCTTTCTTTTGCCATAGTCATTCTACTTCTTCTGGGAGATCGTTTTGTATATTTGTGACTTTTTCTTCCAACAGTCCTGCAACTGTTGGCCCTGGTTGCTCAACCAACAGGCGTTGAGTCCTCTAGCTAATTTGTCACCAGAGGTCCAGGAATTCCTGCACCTAATGTGGTCTTTCTTGACCCAAGTAATGACCGATCTAGTATGGATTTCTTTAAATTATATCTCAGTACATTTTTATCGGAGCGACACTCTTTGTCTGGCTCCTCTGATGAGACCTGTCTAGTATGATTGAACCTCTGGCATAACTCTCATCTTCCTCAGAGCGCACAAGCCCCACAACCACATGAAGGGATGTGTGGAATTATTATTTATTGATTTATATGCTACCAATCTCACTGTCCGATGACTCTGGACTCAAACGCACTTTTGCCCACTAAAAATTAAAAAAAGGTTGAGTCAAACTCTAGAACAGGGGTCCCCAACCCCCAGTCTGTGGACCAGTACCGGGCCATGGCATGCCAGCAACCGGGCCGCACAAACAAGCAAAGCCTCATCCACGAGATGCAGGCAGCACACAAAACCATGCCCCCTCCGGTCTGTGGAAAAACCTCTCTCCATGGAACCGGTCCCTGGTGCCCAAAAGGTTGCGGATCTCTGCTCTAGAGGATGGTGGTCACCTCTTTTCCTAGCCAAGGGAGCCAGCGTTGTGCAAAGACACTTCCATGGTCATGTGGCCAGCATGACTATACACCAAAGCACACAGAACTCTGCTACCTTCCCACCTAAGTGGTACCTATTTATTTATTCGCATTTGCATGCTAGTGTTGTGATTCCGTGCCAGCCTGTGATCCCGGTAGTTGAGTCTGGGGATTCAGAGGAGGAGGAGGAGGAGGAGGGTCCTGGAGAGCCATCAGAGTCGGAGGGAGGCTCTGATGAGCTGCAGGACTTACAAACTAATGAAGAGGCTGGTCCGTCCACTCGTGATCAAGCTGAGAGCCAGCTGTGCTGGGAAGCTGAGTTGGACTCAGAGGAAGCACAGCTGGAAGACCTCAGAGACGCTCGTAAACGTAGGCAGGTCACACAAGTAGGACAGAGGGAGTCAATGGGACGACTCCAGGGAAAGAGGAGAAAGCAGTGAGAAGCCACGCCTTGGGGGTTGCGTAACAAAAAGGGAATGTGTGGGCAGGGCTGGTTGCTGGAGGCAACCATTTGCAAAGAACTTCAGTGTCAAGAGATCATGGTCTATTTATTTTGTTTGTGAGTTATTTCCTGTTTGACGTGCTCCGTTTTACTTTTGGAAAAAGTGTTGGAAAAGTGTTCTGTTGCTTTTGTTTTTTCTGGGACAATTATTAGGTCTGTAACTCAAATAAAAAGGGTTTATTTTCCAGTCTACTGTTAAAAGAGGGGTTGTCTTTGTGAAGTAACAAGGACGTGTGTAAGCTGGGATAGAACAGCTAGGTGGGCAGGACCTGGAGCAAGTAACGGGAGCTCACCCTGTCACGTGATGCTCAGGTCTCCAATCACCAACCTTCCAGTTGACAAGCCCAGGTCTTAACCACTAGGCCAACGCACCCCCACTTGCCCACTACTTACCCCAAAACACTTCTTCTGTGTTTGACCCTCAATAAAGAAGGAATCAAATCTTGCTGGATTTACAGCTGTGTGCTCTATATCAACTTTTGCAACTTATCACTCTCACCCCAACTAGGGGGAAGATGAGAACTGAAGACCAACACATCTGGAAAGCTATAGACTGACAAAGGTCTCTTGNTTGATTGCAACTGCTTGAAAGATACATGATTTACATTGCTGAACTGATTTTTTTTTTCAAAATTGTAAACTGATTTTTAAACACAACACATAGACATGCAGTATTGGTAAGCAGCCCCACGTTTACCTAACAGCTCGGATGACCATCTTCAGCGTGGGGATAAGGTCTTCCATAAGGAGGTCATTGCTGTATCCCCTGTCTTCTGCCAGGGGGTCCCCAGTTCCAGCATCTAAAAGTAAGGACCAGATGGATACAGATAGATGATCCAGATGCAGAAGAGATTAGAACAATGTGAATTAGCTCATACAATATTCAAACATCTTATTCAGGCTGGGATCATTTGAAATCATGGATCCTGAACATTTTCCATTTCATAGACCCAGTAGTAAAAAATAATAATAATAATTTGTCAGATTCAATGTACCAAACTATTCTGGGTACCCACCATTTAATTTACAGGGAAAAGAAGCTAGTATTCTATCAAATTCTGTCCTCCAATTTCCTGAAAAAAATTTGTCCTGAGTTTTTCCCACCTTATTGCCACGTTGCTTGAAAATTTCTTTTGCTGGTGTTTTGGAACTATTTTTATTGCTGAAAAAAAGCACGACGGTACCCTTCTTGGCCCTGTACGCTTTTCCAATATTTCTGTATGCATTCTTCAACAAAGATGCTTTACAATAGGCAGGAGCACATTATCAAAACCCCCCCACTTTTGGATAATTAAAGCAGCCACCACATTTTTTCAGAATGATTTTGTTGTTGTCAGTTACGAAGTCGTGTCCGACCCACCGCGACCCCATGGACAACGTTCCTCCAGGCCTTCCTGTCCTCTACCATCTTCTGGAGTCCACTTAAGCTCATGCCTACTGCTTCAGTGACTCCATCCAGTCACCTCATTCTCTGTCGTCCCCTTCTTCTATTGCCCTCCATCTTTCCCAGCATTAGGCTCTTCTCCAGTGAGTCCTTCCTTCTCATTAGGTGGCCAAAGTATTTGAGTTTCAACTTCAGGATCTGGCCTTCTAAAGAGCAGTCGAGGTTGATCTCCTCTAGGACTGACCGGTTTGATCACCTTGCAATCCAGGGGACTCGCAGGAGTCTTCTCCAGCACCATAACTCAAAGGCCTCAATTCTTTGTCGCTCAGCCTTTCTTATGGTCCAACTTTCACAGCCATACATTGCAACTGGGAAAACCATGGCCTTGACTATATGTACTTTTGTTGGCAGGGTGATGTCGCTGCCTTTTAGTATGCTGTCTAGATTTGCCATAGCTTTCCTCCCCAGGAGCAAGCGTCTTTTAATTTCTTATAAGGTGCCCTCAGCTGTCTCTTTTCCTTCTCTTCTGCAGTTATGTAGAGACAGCCAGGAACAGGTTGCAGTTCAACTATGTGAACCTGGAAAATGATGCTCAAGATGTAAAGAGTGATTTGTTCACTTTGTGCATTTGTACATAAGAGCTTTGTACGCTTGAGACTCAAGTGTCTCATTCTCAACCAATCTTCCAGTTCAAAGCACTTATCTTTGAGAAACTAAGGGGATTGCAGACTACAAGAAGAGATCCGCACAGTTACATACTCCTCCAGCACCTGGTAGTAAAAAAAGTGCAAGAATTCTTCAACTCACTAATGAGAACTTTGATTTTTTTTTTGGCTGATTTGGAAGCAATATTCATAAGCATTATCAAGCCCACTTATTCTTTATATGCGTATGAAGTGGCATTATTGAGTACAGGAAGTTCTTAACTTGCAATCAGTTGCCTGGTGACCATTTGAAGACACGAGCTACCTGCAAAAGGGGGCTTAGGACTCAGATCTGAACTTCCGATGGTCATCCTCTCCCTGCAGTAAACACACTTCAGGTGTTCAGGAACATGGCCACGTTTACAGTTATATACCGCAGTAACATGTTTTACACTGTCCCAAAGGTGCTTGCCATCCAGTCAGAGCTGAAGAAGCTTCTTGGATGAGAAGCGAAACATCTTCAAAGAAAAACAAGAAACTCCAGTTGCCTCTTGAAAAAGCAACTTTGGGACAACCATGACCTGGATGACGGAGAATCTCCACAGTCATATTTTACGATGGTTTTGCCACAAGCTGGAACTTATTTTTGGCTTTCAGCAAAACTGTCCCCATAGCGAATCTTTGGTTTGCTTAACCACCATGGCATTTGCTTAATGATGGCTGCAGAAAAACTGCCTGTTATACGACTGCTACAACCTATGACCATAATGGAGAGGCTCTATTAGGGTCATAACTAGAGGGTTACTGGTATATGTCTTAAGGCTAGATGTTCAAATGTATTCTTTTCATCTCTGGAACTGTGAGATGGTTTAGAATCCTAAAAGTGGAAGCACAGTGGTCCATCTAAGTAAGGAGTGGAGAACAAATACCCCTCCAGGTATTGCTGAACTACAAAGCCCAGCATCCATTACCTTGAATCATGCCAGTTGGAGTCAGCAGCATGGTAGGGAAAAGAGACTGTAAGCTTCTTATATGATTTATTGTAACCAGCCATTCAGGGATGAAGATTCAAAGCCCAAGCATCCACAATAGATGGGATTTCCAAGTTCTACTTGAAAACATCGGAATGGGAACAAGCCTTTGCTGTCAAACTGGTCTTCCTATCAAGAGGTTTATTGCCATGTTTAATCAAAATAGGTAGCTTTTTTAATTAAGGCCATTAGGCTTGGTCCTGCCTTCTAAAGCAGTACAGAATGTTGCTATTCATTTTGGAAATGGCTTTCTATAATAATAATAATAATAATAATAATAATAATAATAATAATAATAATAATAATAATAATAATAATAATAATAATAATAATAATAATAATAATAATAATAATAATAAATAATAATAATAATAATAATAATAATAATAAAGTTGGAAGGGACCTTGGAGGTCATCTAGTCCAACCCTCTGCTCAGGCAGGAAACCCTATATCATTTCGGACAAATGGCTGTCCAGTCTCTTCTTAAAAACTTCCAGTGTTGGAGCATTCACCGCTTCTGGAGGCAGGTTGTTCCACTGGTTAATTGTTCTAACTGTCAGGAAGTTTCTCCTTAGTTCTAGGTTGCTTCTCTCCTTGGTTAGTTTCCATCCGTTGCTTCTCATCCTGCCTTCAGGCACCTTGGAGAATAGCTTGACTCCCTCTTCTTTGTGGCAGCCCCTGAGATATTGGAACACTGCTATCATGTCCCCCCCCCCTCGTCCTTCTCTTCATTAAACTAGACATAATAATGGCCTGGTTCCTCATTCACCCCTCCCCCACGACATTTCCACTGCAGCGATGTAATATATCTAACGAAGATAATGCACCACATTCCGCCATGTTCTTTAAACATTATTTTCCTTTAAATCGGATATAAAAGTCACGCCGGGATTTGAACCTGAAGAGAACGCTTGAATCCTGAATACAAGTCCCCAATTTCATTCCAAAACATCCAACGTTCAATAGAATGATTGTGTTACTAGTAAGTCAGCCAAATGAGTACAGCTATGGTGTTCTGAAAAATACTCTTCAGGTTTAAAAGTGTGGGTCTTAAAGTCCTAGTTTTAAAAACTAGGAATCAAGTCCTTGGCTTACAACCATTCAGTTAGCGGCCATTCAAAATTACAATGGCGCTCAAAAAAGTAACTTACAACCAGTCCTCACACTTATGACCATTGCAGCATCCCCATGGACACATGATCAAAATTCAAGCACTTGCAACCAGCACCTATTTATGAGTCCTGCAGTGCCCCGGGGTCACACGATCGCCAATTGCCAGGCTTCCCAGCCAACGTCTGACCAGCAAAGTCAATGGGGAATGCAAGGTTCCCTTAAGGACTGCGTGATTCATTTAACAACTGCTGTGGTTATTAATTTTATTATTATTATTATTATTAATTTGATTTATATACCGCCCTTCTCCCGAAGGACTCAGGGCGGTGCACAGCATATTAAAAACAAGTAACAATAAAATACCAAAATAAAATAAATAAATACCAAAATAAAAACCCCTCTAAAACCGAATTAAAAGCCAAATATTAGTAGCTGTGTCGTAATTAAAATTATATTAAAATCATCCCTAACTAAAATCCTCCCTAGGTCAGGCCCGCTTGCTGGAAAAGCCATGTCTTGAGGGCGCGGCGGAAAGTAAGGAGATCCGGAATCATCCGGATCTCGGGGGGTAGTTCGTTCCAGAGGGTGGGGGCACCCACAGAGAAGGC